ATTACCTATTAGCCAAGGTCGTGGGTAGTGAGAGAGGTCAAATAGACACACCCGAGAACTAGGAATATGCAAGGTTGTGACAAACTTTTGCAGCCCTTGCGACGAACGTTATTTTTGCATGATTTTGAACGTTTCTATTTTTATGATGCTTTTTATAAAACATTTTAGAGCGTTCCAGTCACGACTTCATTTCTGTATTCTTTATGCCTTTGAGTAAAAATGAACTTGGACGCCTAATTTGCTATTGCTGGAAACGAGGAATTTCGGCCGGGGGAAGCCGCAAAGGAGATTTGTGATGCCGAAAGCGAAGGGGCCACACAGACGACAACTGTTTCTCGCTGGTACAAGCGCTTAAATTCTAGCGAGATCAAGTTGGAATACTAGCCTTGTTCTGGTCGACCAACAAAACTGGGCAATAAGGAATTTATTTCTACCCTCGAATATGAACCATCACCGAGCAGTCGTAGTTTGGGAGCAGTAGGTGAAGCCGACCACGAAATGGACTGGAAATACTGACATTGATTTGCCTTTGTCTATAAGAAGTCCCATCAAAAACTAAATGAGCTGACTGAAGTACAGGCCAATGGACGCGTTGGAAAGTGTAATCAATTGTTGCAAAACCCTTGAAACGATCGATGTCGGAAGTGCGTTGTGACGTCTGATGAGGAAGAGGTTTACCTGGTCAGTTACAACCGACAAAATAATCGGGTTTCAAGAGGTCATGCTCCTCCATCAGTCCCAGGTCAAGATCGGTCCGGCAAGGAAGTGAGGAGCTGTACTTGGTAAAATTTCTAAGGCATGCATTATTTTAAATTTGTTCTGAATGGCCGTGCCGTCAGCTCCTATCTTTACTGGGTCAAGTCTTCGGCAAGCTTAAAAAGAAGTACCCGAGAGTGGTTAGTCGAAAACGGACTGTTACATCAGGACAATACAAAACCTCACACTGCAGGAAAAAATACAGAACAGGTTCGAAGAGGTGCATGTGGTTGAGGTTCTTCCACACACGGCCTACATCTCCGATGCTACATCATTTGACTCTGGCCCCTTTCGATCAATGCAGCACTTCTTGCGAGGTCGTCAGTTTGAGTCATTTGTGGAAGTCGAAGAAGCATGCAAAGAACTCTTCGAATTAACGCCCAGGGAATGGTACTCTAAGCAGATCCGAAGGCCTCCAGATAGGCGGCAGTCGAATGATCGAATTTATCTGAACGAATAGTTTCTGTTGTTTTT